AAAAAAAAAAAAAAAAAAAAAAAAAAAAAAAAAAAAAAACACATCTTAGTAAAACAAATACCTTCTCAGCTTCGCATCGAAGCTAAAAAATGTTTTGTAAAAAAAATATTTTATTTTATTAAATATTAAGCGCTCCACGGCTCTCTAAAGTTTAGGGTTTAAGAAAAAATCATAATAGACGAGAACGTTATGGGTCGTAAATCGATAAGCGCTACCAGTTTTTAGTAATGCGATATACTATAGTAAAACCATAGGTATATTTCTATGTTGGTTGTTGAAAAAAAAACCTATATGACGTAATCAATGAGAATTGATTGATTTTTATCAGTTAACAAGTTGCTACAAACTTATACAAACAATGAATGACTATATTAGATCGTCGCTTGTCAACAATGATCTGTCACATGGTTGTGTACACAGTTTGAAAAGTGTGTTTAATTGAAAAGTTATGTATTTTTCATAATTAGAAATTACTGCGTTGACAATTAATAAGTTCTATTTAAATTAATTCATAAGATGCTTACATATTTATTTGTATACATATCAATGAAACAATTATGGAATTTTAAATGCATTCGATTAGAAGAACATATTTCTATTTCTCATTTAATTTATGGTAAGCATTTATTTATAGTCATATTTCAAGTACTGAATTAATAATAATCTTTAATTTTAATAAATAATTTATTTTATTTCCAGGATATGTATATAAAGTATTATGAAATCTTAACAGCTTTTGATCATAAAAATACATCGGATTTCTAAGTGTTAGTGTGATGGAGACTATTAATTATTTTATATTGGTATTTATTGCCTCATGTTATTATTAACCAGAAAAAGCTTTAGTTCAATTGTCTTATTTTGAAAATAGATTATTCCAACATATGTTCAAAACATATTTGTTGCTAATATAAATTAAAAATTGCCTATCAAAGACTTAGCACGGTTTAACCTCAATTATTATTTTTAAATGAGACTGGGATACATCAGAACTAATTAACATTTGGATATGAAATTTATAATATTAATCAATGATTT